CATTTTTCAAGGCAGAACCAGTGTTCAAGAACAATTTTTTTTTTAATGCTGAGTTAAGAAACAGTGACATTAGGAAAAGAAAGATGTCTGGTGTCATCAGATGGGAGTTGCATGAATTTGACCAGAAAATTCCTTGGCTCTTCCAGGGCTTGCTGGTAAGGATGAGGGAGGCCCTGCCTCCGTTCCCACCAATCCTTCTGGTCAGATTCTGATTACTTGACTTCCTTTCTGCATGTGTCAGAGGGGGACTGGGACTCTGCATCTGACCGTTCCAGTGGTGACTTGTGGCCTGTCTCACAGTCGGTGAGGTGTGTTGTTTGGTGCCCATACCGGTGCCCAAGCATCACCGACACCCTCATTGTGCATTTTATTTCAGGGAGTGGGTCAGTTTCCCTGAACATGACTCTCACATCGTGGGTTCGGTGGAAGACACCACTCCATACTCTTCCCTAGAGTTCTTCAGCGTGTCCTTGACCACCTCCTCTTCTCTGGCACTTTTCTTAGCCTGTCAATATTCTGAAAGGGTGAAGTGGTGGGTGGGTGAGCCTCGCTGAAGAACTGCTGGGGTAGGCTTTTGACTAGTTAGGATCTTGTTCAATGAAAGCTCCAAAAGAATGTTGCACCCTGTAGTAATATAAACGAAAAATACCCATAATGACGCTGACACTGCTGCGATTCTTCCTCTTTACCTGCCCGAGTGCTTTTCATAGGTTTCCTTATTTAGTCCTCACAGCGAGCCTAGGAAGTAGATGGTAGTATTTTTTACATCTGTTTCACAGATGGGTGAGCTGGGGCCTGGAGAGGGCAAAGAGCCAGAGGAGCCTGTGTCTTGTAAATGAACTACTGTGCTTAAACCCCAGGCAGCTGACTCTGGGTAAGATGCTTTGACCCTCTGTTACTATGAACTATATGTTAACACTTAAGAAGAGTAATCTCTTCCCCTGATTATTAGTCCAGCTGGTGATTTGCTCCTTTCAGGGAACATCTGGCAACAGTGGAGATATTTTTTTTGTGTTCTGCAGTTTTGTGCTACAACTGGTATCTAGTGGGTGGAGGTCAGAGATGTTGCCTAGAGTGCACAGGCACCCCTCTGCACCAAGGGAGTATGTGGCCTAAAATGTGTGCCATCATGGCCTGTAGCACTATGGATGCCTGTAACGTTAGTGAAGGTTGAAGCAGGAGTATCACAAGGTCAAGGTCAACCAGGGTGATTCAGACAGGGGGCTACCCTGTCTCAAAATGAAATAAAAACGGGGCTGGGGATGTCGCTCAGTGGTGGAACACCACTGGGTTCAGTCCCCAGTACCAGAAAAACAAACAAACAAACAAAGTTGGTAAATGCCAAGGTTGAGAAAACCTTTTGGTGTTGCATGTTCATTCCTAAAAAGTATTCCTCTCCCAGTCCTTCACCCCTGCATAATGCATGTATATTCTTCTAGAATCTTTTTCTTCTGGTCATGCCAGTATCATTTTATGTATGTATTTGTAGAAACAGAATCAGTGTGTATGGTACATGTCACCTTTAATACACAATATGTGCGTTCCCATGTCAGAGCATTCTTGGGTGACTAGCTGCGCAGTATGTTTGGTATGGATGAACACCAGGGACAGTTGGGTTATTTTGTAATTTTTGTTTAGAGCAGTGTCATATGCTATGCACATGTCTCTGCAAACTTGCTTCAGATCTCAGTGTTTTGAACCAAAGAACTAGGTTTTGATACTTGGTCAGGCACAGTGGTGTCCTGGCTTCCCCATGCCCGAGCCAGGCTGTGCCCTGTTTCTCTGTGCACATCACTGAGATTGCCAAGGATCTCATGGCTCTATGACTGTGTGACTTGTTTCGGATGGGTTGCTAGAGTAATGTGATAAATTTCAGAAAAGAAATAGTCTTTTTCTGCAATGGAAAGCAGACGTCTAGAATGAGAGAGAGGTGAGAGAGACCCACTGATTTGAATCTTGGACGTGTTTTTGAAGGAAAAAGAGATGACTGGGTTCACACTTGTATTCCACTTTTTGCAATCACAGAATTAATTATTTTATGTAAAACAGATAATTGTAAAAATTGTGACTGTGCCAACTGTCCTCAGTGGTACTCTGAGGTTTTCTGGGATTTTGAGATCCCCTTCAGGGATTAGGCTCTGGGACTGGCATACAGTAGCACTCAATAAGTATTTGTAACCAGTTTGAATTAGGGGAAAAAGATAAGAATGGCCTGACTGGCCCCTGGAGCATAGGCCCAGGCCTTCTGTTGGTAAGCCACCTGGGGAGCTCCCCTTTTAAAAAGGTCCTGAAACCCTGGGGGAGGGGGAGAGGGGGCTTCTGCCTGATAGGTTTGTGTTTGTCTCTGCTGAAGCTGGGTGTGGGTGTCACGATTCAGAATTGCTCTCCACAGTGTACAGAGCATGGAAAGGACTGTGCATGTTTATTAAAGGTCACAGACTCTTTGAAGAATATTCACAGAAGCAGCACAATTCAAAATAGCTCCAAACTGGAAATGCCCAAGTACCCATTAGTAGTAGGAAAGATAAACCATTGAGATTTTTTTTTTCTCTCTTCTGTGTACTGGGGATTGAACCCACACGGGTATTCTATCACTGCAACTATAATCTTAGCCCTTTAAAAAAAACCTTTTTAGTTTAAGACAGGGTTTCACTAAGTTGCGAGGGCTGGCCTAGAACTTGCGATCCTCCTGCCTCAGCCTCTGGAGTAGCTCTGCTTACAGACTTGGGCCACCACACCCAACTGTGAGTTGTTTTTTTTTTTTTTTTTAATTGCTAAAGAGAAAATATTTCAAAACACAAAAGGGTCTGAGGAGAAAAGCTACCCCATATTTAACAAAGGTTTACATGTTTCTGTATTTTGCCATTTTTATTTATGCTAGCCTTTTTTCTTTTTTAAACTTAAGAACTAGAACTTCCTGTGGGGTGCTTAGTGCTGGGGATGGAGTTGGGTCGGGTGAGTGATCTGAAGGTCGCATTGAAACACAAGAGTGGAGTGACTGCGGCTCTCTGTGCACATCTTCCCTTGACATGTGGCAAACTGTCTGTCACTGGCACCTGAACATGGAGTGGTCCAGTCAAGGAGGATGTCTCTGATGAGTTTCTGCAGTGCCACAAATGAAACAGAAAGAAACTCTGCCTTTCTGCCCTGTGCTCTCTGGGGTGAGACCCCGTGTGCAGAAGTGCTGTTTGAGGACATAATGCCTTCTGTGTTGAAATGGACTTTGCCATCCCATTGTGATCTAGACCTTGCATGTCCTGAGCTCGTTGACAGTTGTTAGGGATCAGACCGATGAGGATAGTGGGAACATGAGATGAAGAGAATAATTCTATAGAATGGGCCCATGGGCTTTGTTTTCCAAGAAGCCATTTATCTGCAGCCCTGACTGGCCTAGATGCTTTCCCTCAATAAACTCATTCCTCTTACTCTGAGTGTCATGTCTAAATCTTTCTGACTTGGTCTCAAGAATCGGGGTTTGAAGGGGGTCTTCATGTGGCCTCGGTTTCCTGGAAGATCCCAGCTCTGAGAAAGGATGAGTGAGAACGGAGTCTGGGGCTTCCAGTTACAGCTGTTGCTGGTAGCAGGGACACAGCTCCCTGTCACTTCCACTCAGCCATGCTCAGCAGGATGCTGTGGATGGAGAGTACCATTGTCATGGAGATGACCTTGACCGCTGGAGTTTATATTAGAAGACTCCTTTGCAAACTTCTGTTCTTCACTTACTATCTTTTGAGCCTGTCCTTGTTACTGATTGTCATGGGGAAGATCATGTGAGAATGGTTCCCTTTACTGACTGCTCCTTGAGTCATTAGCCTAAGCTGCTAAGAGCTGAGGTCCTAAGCCCTTTGTGCTGTATTTCCTCTTTGCTAAAACTCAACATGTAGGTGCTGTTGCTGTCTCTAGCTTAAACATGTTGCCAAGGGTCACACTGTAAACTGCAAAGCCAAGATTCACATCTAGTTTTGGTGGCTTCAAAGACTTGTTCTTCACCACTCACTAACTGAGGACCCTTGCTGTTATTATTTTTGTTAAGAAGATGAACAGAACCTTAAAGATCCAAGTAACAGTTTATTGAGCCTTTCCAAGATCTGGCCTCCTCTGGTATTCTGAGGTAGGGGAAGCATTTCACAGATGAGGCTCTCAGGGGCTGGCTAGCTAAGTAGTGAATTTACCCCAGCTCACACAGCCCATGTGGGGCTAGAAATGGAACCAAGGTCTTTTAAAAACATACTCCATTTTTCCTCAGTGATTCAACTTGATTTCTGACCACCTTGGTTCACTTTTGGCCCCACACTTAATGGTAAGGTTAATTGTTTCCCCATGTTTTAAAAAGGAGAAGTACAGGCTGTCTTCCTTTTGTCAGAGATCACAGAGGATTAGTCAGCAGTGCATTTTTTTTTTTTTAAGAGAGAGAGAGAGAGAATTTTTTAATATTTATTTTTTAGTTTTCGGTGGACATAACATCTTTATTTTTATTTTCATGTGGTGCTGAGGATTGAACCCAGTGCCCCACGCATGCCAGGCGAGCGCGCTACTGCTTGAGCCACATCCCCAGCCCCAGTAGTGCATCTTTTAAAAATTCTTAGAAGCTAGGCACTGTGGCACACACCTATAATCCCAACAACTTGGGAGGCTGAGGCAGGAGAATCACAAGTTTGAGGATAGTCTCGCAACTTAGCAAGAACCTATCCCAAACAAACAAACAAACAAAAAAAGGCTGGGCATGTAGCTCAGTGGTACAGTGCCCCTGGGTTCGTGCCAGATATATATATATATATATATATAATCTTAGAGCCACGCATCATTTAAATACATACTTATTTCACCACTGTGACATTTTATAATATCAATTGATACTTTCATTGAAGACTTATTTACAAACCAATCTTTTGATATTTTGGTAGAGGTATACGTTTGGTAACCCAGATGGGGCTTTGGTGCCGAGTGCAGTGTTCGACCGTCACAGTGGCTAACATCAGCCTCTTCTGGGTTGCTTCGAGGTTGCAGCCGCTCCCTGGTGGTTACCTGTTAAAGGCGCTAACTGGAGACACCCAGAGGGGCCCGACTCTACTGTTCTGCACAGGTGAGTCAGGTGAGGCCCAGGTGACACGCTTCGTTCCATAACAGATTTCGGTGCTCTTGAGAAAGAACCCAGTGGCCATCTTCAGCTATTAAGATTATAGCAAGAGTGACAAACCATCAGTGATTGGTAGGAAAATGAGATGACAGGAAATAATGTCTGTGAAGACCTGAACACTGCGGCCTCCCAGCAGGCTCTTAATAGATGGCCTATTTCCTTCCTCATTTGCCTGTCAAAGAGTATCTTCTTGCAGATTTCCCCCTTTGTCAGGCCTGTTACAGATCTCATGTCATGTTTAATCTTTCCAGTCTGTCCATTTGTTCTGCCTCGTGAGTGCATCTTTATGAGGAAGGACTGACTGTCTCATGGATGGGCACTTGTGTCCTGCCAAGTGGCCCTTGAGTGTGGGATCCATGGGCTCTGTAGTCCCGGGCTGACATACTTTGGAGCTACCATCTGACTACAAAACCACAGAGCAGCAAGTCGGTCAGCAAGTCTCCAGGGTGGCAAGGAAGTAATTATCTCGAGCAAAAATAGAGTCGACTTGAAGCCCGGAGGTGGAGAGGGTTTGGGTTAGGATCCGTCCCTCCACAGCCCAAGCAGACTGCTCTCCTAACCTCATTTTTCAGGTGGCATTTTCAAGTCTCTATCTTCATAGCATTCCTGGTGGCTCTCCTGATTGCTGGAAGCTGGGAGGACATGAGTTCAGCTTTAGGGATAGGCCCCTCGACAAAAGTCAGAAATCTTTCAGGAGGGCCGGCCCCTGAGCTCCCTATTCATAACTTCTTTCCTGAGTTTATGGGGAGAGGAAAAAAGCAGGCAGAAGGGAGGCAGAACAATCCGAAGAGGATTATTTTTTGCAGAGTTGGGGATCAAAGCCAGGGCCTCGTGCATACTAAGTACGTGCTCTACCGTGGCGCTGCCTCCCCATGGGATGTATTTTTAAATTCATGTAGTAAACTGAATGGCTGGCTGAGTCAGTCTTCTGAGAAAAGTGCATCTTTTATCAGTGCTGGGAATAGTATCTGGCACATAATAGCTACTCAGCAAACATTCGTTGAAAGAATACATGAAAGTCCTGGTGTAATTACTGTAGAAAACTCAAAGATGTATGTGGAAGGAACTCAGAATGTGTAGACCACTTAAAGACAAAGTGAGCAGGAGATTCAATCCCAAGAGGCCTTCCCCTTCCCTCTCTCCCTTGAGGAAAAGGGAGAACGAGTTGGGATCTGCTCCAGCCAGGCAAATATGACGAGTCAGTCATTTGTCGAAACATGCAGAGTTTGAAGCTGGGTGTCCTAGGTTGGGTTCTCTGGAAACTGAGGCTGAGATAGAGTTGACCTGTAGAATATCCATTGTGGATCCCCCTGTGGAGGGGACAGACACTCTAATGCAGGCCCAATAAGTGCATGGAGCTCTGGGGTGTGCATGGTCATGATTTTCATCACGGGGTCACCAACCAAACCGAGGATGAGTAGACATGCCAGTTCCTGTTTCCTGTTCCGGTCGGAGCCTCTGTTCACTCTGCTCTCCCTCCTCCTCAGGCCAAATCATCCGGTGCTCCACGTCTCCTGGAATGACGCAGTGGCCTACTGCACGTGGGCAGGGAAGCGGTTGCCCACGGAAGCTGAGTGGGAGTACAGCTGTCGAGGAGGGCTGCAGAATAGGTATTGACGGCCTCATGTTGCCCAAACCTTTTTTGTTTAACTCCATGGAACTTTCTTTGCTCAGAAAGTTGAACACAAACAGCTCTTGTTCTTCCAGGGTTTTCCTCTTCCCTGTGAGGTTACTTAGGTGACACTGGTGAGCGACCCCCTGACCTTTTGCAGTCCCCAAAGCCAGGTTTTGGCCAATAGGGCTCCCTGCAGCCCTGAAGCAACTTCCAGCGGTTCACGTGCTGCTTGTTAGTCCCTGGAGCGGCTTGGCAGGCTGCCTCGCTGCTAGCATTTTCTTATTTTAGGCATCTTCTGAAGCGATGGTATTTCTTCGCTTCTAGAGCTATGAGACAGAAAACTCATGTTTGGGTCACATCTTCTAGGAAAAGCTCCTTAAAATAGCCACGGCTTTATAAAAAAGTGTGGTGTGGCGCTGCCTGATCACGCTACCAAATAAGTCCAGGATGAGGCCTCCTTCCCCTGCTCTCCCAAGTCCTGCTGTTAGTGATGGGATTGGCCTCCAGCCTTCCGAGTGCTCAGGAAGGACTGAGGTTGTTGGTAACTTGACATGAGCTGTTACAAGGAAACCAGGAAAAGCCGATTAAAAGCTCTTCTCTCTATATATATATGTATATTTTAAAAGCTCACTCAGAGTAAGAGTGTCGTTCCCTCGTCCCTTGACTTTAACTCAGAAGCCCGTTCCCTTTGGCAGGCTGATGCCCATGTCTCTTCCAACAGACTTTTCCCCTGGGGCAACAAGCTGCAGCCGAGAGGCCAACATTATGCCAACATTTGGCAGGGCGAGTTCCCAGTGTCCAACACTGCCGAGGACGGCTTCCAAGGAACTGCACCCGTGAGTAGTGACCCTGTGAAGGAGGGTGGCTGCGGCTGCGTTCATTGCTGTCACAGGGACAACACTAGTATTTAATCTGATGTTCTCTCTCTCTCTCTCTCTCTCTCTCTCTCTCTCTCTCTTTTTTTTTGTACTGGGGATTGAACCCAGGCGTGCTTCACCACTGAGCTACATCCTCAGACCTTTTAATTTAATTTTGAGACAGGGACTTGCTAAGTTGCTGAGTTTTCTATTAGTTGCTGAGGCTGGGCTTGAACTTACAATCCTCCTGCCTCAGCCTCCCTAGTAGTGGGGACTATTGGCGATTGGCCACCAATCGCCAATAGCCCCCAATTTTATAGTGTATTTTTTCCCCCTGATCCCTTAATAAGGTAGACTTGTACAAATTTTAGAAAAACAAGACCACCGTAAAGAGAAAGCTAAATTGATCTCGTATTGTGCCACCCAGAGAGAATCCTTGGTAGCATTTTAGTGCTTTTTCTTTCTGTTCATTCTTGGCTAGTGGATGTTGAATGCTTTCAGTGTGCCAGGCATAGTGCTTAGCCATTTGCATGAATTGTCCCTTTTACTGTTGATTCAATTCTGTAAGGTAGGTACTATTTTCCCCATTTTCCAGGTGAGCATTCTGAGGTGCAGAGAGGTTAACTACTTGCCCAGGGTTACACTAGCAGGAAAGTGGCACAGCTGGGATTTGAACCAGGTTGGTTTGTTTTCAAAGCTCGTGCTCTGAACTACCATATTGGCTGGCATACGTGTTTCTGGTGTATGTACATCATAGATTTTTTTTTTACATAGCGCATTTGGATCACACTGGACACAATATTTAAAATCCTGTTTTTACCTACTTAATATAGGGAACATTTTTTTCTTCCTTCCTTTCTTTCTTTTTTTTTTTTTTTACATGAATAGTTGTCACCAATACATTTCTTTCAGCAGCTGGATAAACAGTATAAACAGTCAAAGGAACAAACTTTTATTTAGCTCTGATTGTTGCAGATTTAGGTTATTTTTTTTTTGAGGGGATAAAACATACAGTGAGTATCTTATACATAAATATGGAGCTGCATTGCTGTCTCTGATTTTTAAAAGACAGATGCGTAGGGCTGGGGTGTGGCTCAGTAGCAGAGCGCTTGCCTAGCACGCCTGAGGTACTGGGTTCGATCCTCAGCACCACAAAGAAAACTAAATAAACAAAACAAAGGTATTAAAAAAAAAAAAGACAGATGTCTAGCAGTGAAATTAAAGAGTCAAAGGTTAGAAAAATGTTCTTTTTTTTTTTCTTCCTTTTTCTAGTGCTGGGGATTGAATCCAGTGCTTTGTGCATGGCTAAGCACATGCTTGACCGAGCTACATCCCTAGCCCTACAAAACTTCCTTGGTTAAAACTTTGGAATATGTGGTCCTGTGTTTTCCAGAAGGCCTGCAAGAGTTCCTGTCTCCCTGCTCTTCTGCTGCATAATCATACACTAATGAAACCGTGTTAAAAAACTGTCTTAGCCCATTTGTGCTGCTATAACAAACACCACTGGCAGGCCAATTTATAAACAGAAATGTATTTCTCCCAGTTCTGGCAGCTGGAAAGTCAAAGATCAAGGTACCAGCAGCCGTGATGTTTGCTACATCCTCTAGAGGGGTTGACCGCTGTGCCCTCACCTGTCTGAGAGGCAGAAGGACAGGGGAGCACTTCCTTCAACCTAGAGCTGTTTTGTGAGGGTACTCATCCCATGCAGAATCACGCAGCATCCCTTAGTCACCCTCCCTGTAGAGACCACCCCTCTTAACACTGTTGCATTGGAGATTAAATTTCAGCATGAATTTTGAGGGGGACGCCATCACTCAGAGTAGAGCCAAAACATTTTCATTTTCTCATAACACACTGAGGAAATAAATCCTCTGGGAAAATAGCCTTATATTAAATTTGTTGTTTAAGAGAATCATTTTTTTTTCCAACAGTCTTTCAAACAATTGTCATGTTTTGAAAGCATTTGTATTTTTGTTTGACACAAAAATAACGCTTCCCAAATCCATTTGTGTTTATTTGGTACATGATCAAAGGATTACAAAATTGCTGCTAAAAAATGAAATAAGTGAACGACCAAGTCATTTTTGGAAAAGATGAAGGACTGAGAAGCTTGTGACCTACCAGAAACTGAAAATTAATGTGACCTGTCCTGATTTCAGCATTGTATTTTTTTTTAAGATTTAAGAGCAGTAAGTTTATATACCTTACAGTACAGCTTCAAAATATCTAAAATAAAAGCTGATCAAAGTATAAAAATGGTTTATGATCCAGCTTACTTGGTTTAGAAGACATGACACGAACATAAGCTTATTATAGTTGTACACTGGAAACACATGTGAAAACCAGGACCTTTTACGCGCTCATTGAACAAACCTGAATGTGGGGGATACATGTGACCACACTTCACCCAGCAGACAGACAGCAGTAAGCACTGCAGAGGGTGTGGAGGAGCTGGATCTTCACAGGGGCTCGTGGGAATGTAAGAAACTGCAACCATTGTGGACCACAGTTTGGTGAATCTTCAGAAAGCTGAACATTAGAGTTACTTATCACTTCGTGATTCCACTCCTAGGTATGCGCCCTTTCACTTTTCAGAACCAGTGACATCCTCATCATTTAAGTGGCACTTGAACTTGGGAGGCATACCTTTTACTCAAAGTACTCTTCTATTTCCCAGGACAATACAATATCCACCACCTGTGAGCTGGGGAGATCCACAGTGCTCCCAGCAGGTGGGCTGAGTGGGGAGAGGGAGAAACAGCTCAGGGCCCAAAGAGCCAGGCTGGAGGGGAGGCCACGGCACCCACCTCCTTGACCGCTTTGCCCCGATCCTCAGCATCATAGTTTTCAGAGCAGAATAGGAATAAAAAAGAAATTGCTTGAGAATAATCCTTTAGTAAGTGTATGCGTGCATTTATGTGTGTGCATCAAATTCCATATGTGTGAGTTATGCATGTGATTAATTAACACAAACCCATGGGAAATGCATGATTGCACAGGGGCAAAGACTAATCAAACCATGTGGTAGCCAGTTCCTCCCAAGTTTCCTTCAGGACGGCTGCTGCCCTCCCAGGACATAGTTTTATTCAGTGAAGACCATGCCTGGAGGTCTTCGGGAAGAGATGATCTCAGCCCTTTTCTCCACTTCAAATGGGAGAAGAGCCCAACTTGCTGTGTGGAGCACTGTGCTGAGGATGCCTAGTGGGCCACCTTGGGACAGCAGAAGTGGCACTGCAGGGTGAACAGAGTGCCATTGGAGGTGCTGATATGGGTGCTCGTCAGACCCCAGAACAGGGGATGGCTGTTATGGCCCCGCAGCAGTCCTCCGAGTTGGAATCTGCCAGGGAGTGTGTGACAACTCACCTGTACACACAGCAATCCCTGAAAATGGATGGCACTGCAGTGTAGAGCTGGCACCTGGCCCTCTTGGCTGTGGATCCACGAGAGACTGTCAGGAGAAGGGCTTCAGCAGCCTGGGTCCACTCAAGGATGGCATGCTGTGACAAGGAAGGCCACTGCTGTAAACCTCGAAGCCAAGAGGGTGCTCCTGGGCGGGTGGTAGGTGCAGGTCTCAGTAGTCAATATGCACATGAGATATCTTTGAAGGCCAGAGTGTGGAAGCAGCCACGTGATCAGCAGTTGGGCAGGATCACGAGGTCCCCAGATGGGCCAGTCCCAGTTGAGAGGGTAATGGCCTCCATCCCTGCTCTCATTTGGATCGGTCTGTGATAACTGTTTCTGAAGGATGGGACAAATGATGGAAATGCCTGTTTTAGCAGAAGGCCACGATACAGCTGTCTTGGGCCATCATGCACTTATATTGTACAGCACTTGCCACTACAGCAGCGCCTAGCTCTGTTTACCTGGCTGCCGAGGAAAATCGAGCTAGGTCCTCTCCCCAAGTCAGTGCACTGTTGCAGAAAAACACGAAATTTGTGGCAAAATAAGGACATTCTTCTGATATTTAGAGCTGGAACATTGGATGGGGGGAGATCAGCACATCTTCCTACCTGAAGAAGTTGCCATGGAAGCTACTAAGACAAAGTTAGAACAGTTACCAGGAGCCTCGAAAGAACCAATTTTTGAGATGCAGGTGTGGTGGTCCATGCCTGTAATCCCACTGGCTCAGGAGACTGAGGCAGGAGGATCACCAAATTGAAAGCCAGCCTCAGCAATGTAGTGAGACCCTAAGCAACTTAGGGAGACCCTGTCTCAAAATAAAAAATATAAAGAATTGGGGATGTGGCTCAGTGGTTGAGTGCCCTTGGGTTCCATCCCCAGTACCAAAAAAGAAAAAAAAAAAAGGACCAATTGGAGAAACCAGACCTGAGGAGAAAGCAAGAAAGCCAAGGAGAGGTGACCCCCACTATGTTTGGATATTTATTGTGACCTCTGTGTTTCAATTGAGGCTTTTCTTGAGTCCCCCTGAGCTGCTCTGCTGCTATTCATGTGCTCTGGACAGTTGAGAGCACATATGTACTGTCGTAAAGTGGCCTCCTCACTGGATAACTCATACATTTAATTATTTCATATCTGACTTGAAACCAAGGAAAATACTTGGACCACGGTGAGCCTAAAGAATTGAATGCAGGGGCTGAGGTTGTGTCTCAGTGGTAGAGCACTTGCCTACTATGTATGAGGCATTGGGTTTGCTTCTCAGCACTGCATATAAATAAATAAAATAAAGGTCCATGAACAGCTAAAAAAGTATATATATATATATAAAAGAAAGAATTGAGTTTACATTTTGCTGGGTCACCCTCGTACCGTTGAGTTCTTTCTGGTTTTAATGGGTATCACTTTGTTCACCTGAAGGTTAGCTTGTCAGAAGCCCTTGTCTTGTATCTGTTTTCTTTTGAGGCTCCTGAGGGTAAGCTCTGGTTAATATGATTAATTTAACTTTGAGTTGTTGAAATTTTCACTTTTCCTAAAGAAATACATACAGTAATTTAGGGGCTGGTGACCTTCTGATTTTACCTCAGTTAAACATCAGATTATTTAAAGGGGGGAGAAAAACACCCAGATTTTTTGGGTAGGTCCCATTATTTTTCCATTTATGGATCAGCAGCACCCAGAGAGGTTGAAGTACTTGCCTGATGTTAACTGGTAAGCTGGGACCTCAGCCTGGCTCTTGAGAGTGGCTCTCTCTGTTCTTTCTAGAAGCACCCCGGTCCCCCAATAAATCCTTCCTCCAGGATGTTTAATTTTAAAATTGTGCTTATTCTCCTGCTTCTCCCCTTCCCTTACTGAAGCACATGAATTTCTTCTTTCTGACCCTCTCCAGATTTTTTTAAAAAACAGCTCGTGTTGTGGCCTCTCCCTGTCTCACACCTGTCTTCCAGTGTCTGCTGAGACACCTCCACCTCTGTGGGGGACAGTATCTGGGGCCAGAAATGTTTCCTCTTGGAATCCTTCTGTGGCATTTTCTCTCCCTCTGTTACCCCGCTTGTCCCTTCTGCCTTTTAGAACTGGATTTTTAGTTTCCGGTATTTTCTTCTCTCCTCCTTCATTACGCTCTTGGGATCTTAGTCACACTGAATCTCTCCCTGCCTGTAGTTGCTGGGCTTGGAGTAACTGAATGAAGCAGTGCCCAAGTACTGCTGTTTCCAGAATGAATGGTGATTGTGGAGGCAGAGCGTCAACAGTGTTCGACTTTCCAACTCATCAGATGAGCTTCTTTTCAGAGTAGCTTCCTAACTTTGATTGAAATGCTCTGAATTGCCCAAGCAGCAGATGCTTCCATATTCATGTGTACATGTGAAACCATCTGAAGCCACATAGAAATGAATGTTATTTTGTTCATTCTTTCAATCCTACTTCGTTAGCATGGAAAAAGCACACATTTACCAAAAGATAAAAGGCTCCAAGGATAACCTGATTTTTTTTTTCATTGAAAAAATGAATTTTTCCTTTCCGCTCACAATTTCTTTTAAAATATTGGAGGGGAGGGAAGGAGAAGGTACTGGGTAATGAGATCTATCAAATTAAGTGCATACAAAAATATGGTATAATGAATCCTACTATTACGTGTAATTATAATGCACCAATAAAAATTTTAAAAAAAGATTGGGAGAAATTTTAAGTTATGAAACTAGCGAATCTGTTCTGCATTTACTGTTGTTTAGTTAAAGATTTTTTTCTTGCCCTCCTTTTTTGGATGCTTTCAGGCTATGACTGTGACAATTTTATGCGTCACTGTCTGACCTGCCTTTCAAATGTGGTATAATTTCTAACCTGAATATGTAATTTGCTTCAGACTTCCATATGCCAGAGACTGCAAACCCACTATTTCAGGTACACTCAATAAGGAGTTCACATTTTCCATAAAAACAAATCCTCTCAGTTTTTAATGGTCATGGCTCAGGCAGGTCGGAGGGGGCTGATGGAGAAGACAGAGCGGACCTGGGGTCAGTCAGTGCTGAAAGACACTGTGGCCAGGGAGCTGAGCTCAGGGGACAAGACTCACAGTGAGTCCAGTGTGCTATTCCTCTTAATGATCTTGAAGGTCTCACTGTCATCCGTGAACACGTGTGTGCACAACACACACAAACACACACCATTGGAGATTTGACATATGATCAGCTCTAGTCAGTCTATCAGAAATAATTGCACAGCCTTCCATGCTATTTAATGTAAACTCCTCTTAGATTCCTACAATCCCTTTGAGGACTCAAAGTAAAATAAAAAATGCCTTTTTCTTTGTTTTCATGTTGGTCAAATTGTATTTTGACTGTTGGGAATGAAAATTAGTATTTCTACTCTGAAATTATAGTTCTTAGCACATTTCTGCCCCAGAGAGGTTCTTTTGAACGAGGGCAGTGCTTTGACAGCATATCCCTTCTCTGCTTTTAGGTGGACGCCTTTCCTCCCAATGGTTATGGCTTATACAACATAGTGGGGAACGCGTGGGAGTGGACTTCGGACTGGTGGACCGTCCACCACTCTGCTGAAGAAGTGCTCAACCCAGTGAGTATTTTCCGCTGAGCTAGTATCCTCGAAGGTAGCTCTGTCCTCTGGGCAGACAAGAACAAGGATTTCTGTTCTCACGACATCAATCTTGAATTTCTCTAAAGGGACACTAAGCATACCTCGCTTGTAGCCTTCAAGTGTCATATAAAGTGTCTGTGAGCATTTTTTTCCCTTTTTGGTGTCAAGGATGAACCTAGGACCTCATGCGTGCTGGGCATATGTACCACTGAGCTACATCCCCAGCCCCTATGATCTTCAGTTAGCTGCTGGATGGTAATGGTCATTAATATTTGAGAAATTATACTCAATCTCATAAATTTGATCAGAGAATGATATATAAATAACTGTGCAAAATTCATTAATGTTTTAGTATTAACTCCTAAGATCTGTTAAGTGGTATTTTTCTTGTAGCTACTTGGCTGAATTTTGATGGGTTCAAATTTTTGATTCAGCAAATTATTTTGACAAAATGAGAATGTTGAGTAAATGTTGAGCCAGAAAGTTGGGTCCTTCAGTGATTATTTATTTCTTGAACCTCTTCATATATGAGACTTTGTATGACATTATTCACAAATTTGTCCCTTCTTTCTGTTCTGGTGTGGGGATTGTTGAATGCAAGCTAGTATATTTTCCTGCCTCTGAAACCACTCTCTCGTACAAGATACATAAAAATTAAAACGCTAAATGGGCATATGTTTGGAAAGCTCTTCCTTTAAAAAGAACATCTTTGAATATTTTTTGTTGTGTGAACAGATTGGGGGAAAATTTTATGTAAAATTCCATATCTAGAAAACTAGGCATTCATAAATCAGCCCAAAGGACAACAGTAAGCTGTCCACGCTGAGAACTGGGTGTGCTTGGTGAATACTTTTGGACAAGCACAAAACACAATGATAAGGAAAATGAATTCTTCCAGCCTCTCCCCACTGGAGGGTCAAAAAGCTCAGTTATTGAAGAACTTGTCAGACTCTGTGACTCAGGTCATTTTTCAGAAAGTGCAGATAAGTTTCTGTTGGATATGCTTAATTTGTTCACAGAAAAAAAAATGTGCATAATCTAGAGACACAGATCTACTTTTTTGAGTATGAAGGCAGCAGCTGAGTTCTTCAGAAATTGTTGTTCTCCCTCCTTTTCTTTTACTTTCTTGGGGGACCTGTGGAAGTAGCACTGAAAGACAGCCTGTCTCTTCAAAATGAGAATAAGATTGCAACATTCTCAGGGAGTTTGTGGATGCCATTCTCTACTGGCAAAATGTGACTTGGCATTTGCTATCAGAATCAGAAATAGGTTTTTTTTCCCTCTCAGATAAAAAGCATCTGCATGTTTGGAAGGGTGCACAAGGCTTCAGAAATCCTGGCAAGTTGTGAATGTATCTATCTGACCATCTGGTGTTGAGCTGAGTGCTTATTAGCTTTCAGTCTTATAACTGCTGGGGCTTCTTCTAAGGATTTGCAGAAAAATCCAGATTTTTTTTTTTTTTTTTAATTTTTATTTTACCAGTCCCAGGCTGTGTCCTGGAAGTTGCCCTTGTTCTAATGAAATCTCTCATACTTTAGATTTGTGATTGTCTCAGTGGCCTTGATTTGACCGGGCAGCAGTTGTAAGGACTGAAGAAAACTCACTCCATCCTTCGGATCTTTACAGCTTTCCTTCATTTCCAGTGCACGAGCTGTCATCATCTTTCACCTGGCTTATTGTACCAAGTTTCCTGGCAGCTGGGCTTCCTACCCTCACCCCATTTGCTGCCTTGCAACTAGAGTGATCTTCATGGAGCAAGTCAAATGCTGTCACCTCCCTGTTTAAAATCATAAGGGGTTTCTTACTGTCTGCAGAATGAAGATTTCTGAATCTGACTTCTGAAGCCTAAAATAATCTGGCCCTTGCTCATCTCCCTTTAGCCACACCTTTTTTTTTTTTTTAAACATTTAATTATGAAATGTCACAAAAATCCAGAAGAGTACAGAAAATAGTATAATAGATACCTATGTACTTACCAGTTAGATTGAAGATGTGTTAACAGTTTGCTATATTTACCTCCATTTTAACCAAAGAAAAGGAACAAAACTGTTCTTTTCAACACTTGGTGAACTTCCAGTTATCCATTAGCTTAGAGTCCTGCTCCCCTGAATGCTGAAATGTAACATCAGACAAGCCCCCGAGGAAAGTGGAGAGTAAAGTAGTTATTTAAAGGGTAGTAGAACAGACTTCTCCCCTAAGGAAGAAGGGGACCCAAAAGGTGGAATCCCTGGGATGAGGAAGTCCCATCCCTTTATACATTTAAAGTTTTCTTTGTTCTTTTACATTCTTGCCCCTTATCTTGTTCATTTCCCTTCATCCTGTACAAGTGACTGGGAGATGCAGGTGGGGAAGGAAGAAGTGGTAAACAGGTGGGCTGAAGGGGTGGGGGGTGGGGGTGTGCGTGGGGGGAGGGATCCCAGCAGGAAGCAGGGTGCAGGGTGAATTAATTAGCAGTTCCCTGTCTGCTCAGGGGTTGCTTTATTAACATTTCTTTGGGAAGGGCAGTATCCGCCAGGGGACTTTCACATTTCAATCTCCCTCAGCAGAGTTTTGAACCTTTTGGACCTAAACTGGTTTGGTCTGTTTTTCTCAACTTGGGCCCATTCATCCATCTATGCTGACTACCTATTTTTAATTCTGGCTTCATTGGTATTGTCTTTTCAAAAATTTCATCTGTTGTGTTCAAGGTGTACTGTTATTTCACTGTGGTTTTTTAGTTATCATTTTTTTAAAAAAATATTTGATTGTAGTTGGACACAATATCTTTATTTTATTTATTTTTATGTGGTGCTGAGGATCCATCCTAGGGCCTCCCACATGTTAGGCAAGCGCCCTATCGCTTAGCCACAACCCCAACCCCTTAGTTATCATTGTTTAATGTCTTCTTCCTCTGATAAGGAATGTCAGTTGTTGTTTTTGGTTTTTGGTCACATCTTGTTTTCTTACATGTTTAGTTATTTTTGATTGAATACCAGACATTGTATGTAAAAAATTATAGAAGTTATTTGAGATCTAGATAGTTTGATCCTTCTCTAGAGCATGTTTACGTTTGCTTCTGGATACTTCTATTTCATCTTAGTTCAGTGCAGTCAGGAATTGAGATCTGAAGTTGAGCTTTAGTCCCTTGAGGACCGGTCTATTTTTAGTTCAGCCTGGGAAGAGTTTTCAAAGTGCCAGCCACTTTGTCTGGGGGGTTTTACCATGATTTCTCTTCCTTTCAGGCCTGAACTCCTTTTCCCCACCTTAGGCTGTGAGTCTATTGAAAGTCCTCTTTCATATCTACTGCTATTTGAATCAGTTGACCTCTAGGGAAAATAAGGTCACCTTTCTGGGTTTCCCTTCTCTCTGGGATTTGAACTCAAATTATTCCAGCTCTAGTAGTTCCTGTCTGGTCTGATTAATTCCTATTTTTCTTTTAGGTCTTAATTTATTTGCCTTTCTTCCCTAATGGCTGCGTATCTCTAGTGCTTAGCAAAGAACCTAGTTTGTAGTCATTGATTCTTCAATATTCCAATTCCAGATATGTAGAACTGGTGGGAGGGGGTGGGATCACTGTTCAGACTCCAGGCGTTTCAAAAGCAAACTCTGGTTAGGAGCTTGCATTTTTAAGGGAAATTTTGACCCCAAATACACCTATGATTAGTAAGCATTTCAACCCAAGATCTGACCTCTTCAGGTGTCACATATTTATGTTAGCTCCAAGACTAAGTCCTGGTGGCAAATAATTGTAAAGGTTTTTATAGAGCTTGGGAAAAGTCAGTTCCCTCTATGCAAAGGCTATTCAGGAAATACCTGTTTTCTTCTTCAGTGGCTTTCAGGGAGCAAAAGTTAATCATTAATTTTTATTTTATTGGGCAGTCGTTTATGGCAAAAGCAGTTTATGGAAGCAGCCTTGTGTGCTGTGTACACACAGTCCTGAGAGGATGAGGTATCTGACCATATGAAGTGAGGGTTGGTTTGGTGCTGGGTGTGTATATGTGTCCCTGTGGCTGTCCTTTTCTGGTGGTTTCAGAGCTCCCATGTTAAAATGGTATTGTGTCCTTCCACACAGGCGCTGCCCACAATGTGGCCATCACTGTGATATATTTTAACCCAATAATGTTTTATTTTATTTTATTTTTGGTACCAGGGATTGAACCCAGAGGCACTTTATTAAAAGAGTTGGGGTATGGCTTAGTAGTATTCTTTTTCTATTTTATTTAGAGACAGGGTCTCACCAAGTTGTTTGGGGTCTCACTAAGTTGCTGAGACTGGCTTTGAACTGTGATTCTCCTGCCTCAGCCTCCTGAGTTGCTGGGATTTCAGGCATGCACCACCATGCCCTGCTAATGTTTTTTGTTTTGTTGGTAAATGTGGTCTGTATTTTTTTTTTCAGTTGCCTAAATGCAAAATCCATAAAATCCATAAAAAAATCTGTGACAGTACGTAGTGCTTTCTAAAAAAAAAAAAAAAAAAAAAGTAGACCTTATGTAACATCCTAGTTTCTCAACATCTGCCTCCTCGCCCTCAGTAGACAAGTCCCAGGCTGGTTTCTGAGGAAGACGGAGATGTGATGGGACAGAGTGATCTAAAATATTTTCTTCCTGCTCTGAGAAAACACTGCTGCACTTAAGGGGCTTCTCTTCCCCTGCCACCAGGGAAAGACTCCAGTCTTGGAATTAGTCAAAATATTAGTTTTTTTTTTTTTAATTTTTTTTGCTGTTGATGGACATTTATTTATTTATTTATATGTGGTGCTGAGAATCGAACCCAGTGTCTCACATGTGCTAGGCAAGCACTCTGCCACTGAGCTACAATCCCAGCCCCAAAATATTAGTTTTAAATAATAATAATATTTTAATAATAATGTTTAATAACTTTACTAATAAAGTTATGTTTCTAAACTTAAAATATTTCTTAAACTTCCTTATGTACGAATTGGGAATAATGATACCCCTCCCATGAAACTGTTGTGGAATTAAGTTTCTTAGTGTGTGGGA